ATAGACTCTTTCATCACCAGAGCTACTGCTTTTTGTACCAGCCTGGCAGCTGCCTCTCCAGTTGGAATTGTTGTGGAGACTGTGCTGTGAGTTCTCAAAATATTAGCAATGGTATGCACCCTTGTCCATCAGATGACAGCATTTCATTGGTCTAATTTTACCAGCCTATTTATTTAGTGACATAGAATAAGTTGGTTCAGTATAGACAAAGGGTGGTGTTTTTGGCTTCTTTCTTAATCAGGTTTAAAATTACTTTTAAAAATGTCTCCTTCAAAAGCTACTGTTTTACTTAATAGGGAAGTACTGGCAACTTTCCCACTAAAGTCAGGAGAGAAAAAAAGGATGCCCACTATTGCCACTATTATTTAACATTTCATTGTAGATATTAGCCAACTCAATTAAACAAAATAAAGAAATTAGTGTTAAAAGAATTGGAAAGCAAGAGATAAAACCATTTCTATTCACTCAAGAATCAAATGAAGAATCAAATGAAGATTTACTACAAACACTTCAGAAAATTCAGTATGCTAGTAACATATAAAATTAATGTATAAAATAGATTCCCTTCACATATGCAAACAACTGTCAATTAGGAGATATATGGCAGAGAAGATCACCATTTTAAAAAGCTACCAAAGAGATTGCATACCTAGGAGTGAATACATAAGAAATGCACCAAGCCTATGTGAGGAATACTTTCAAACACTTTGGTGTTCATCAGTTAAACCCATTGATCAATCCTGGCATCACTAAAGATGAAACAATCAAACATAAGCATCCTGATGTAAGTTTATATGAAGTACACAACATCAACTATGAAATATCCTTACCAAAAAGTTTAACGTGAATCTCATCAGCATTTATGAGAAATACAGGGGGTATAAGAACAAATTAAATGACACCACAATGAAGCAAGCAGACAAACCCAGAATATGGGATGTTCCACAGAACAATTGGCCCAGTTTCTTCAATAAATCAAAGTCATAAAAAGGGAGGAGGGATACTGCTGTAGAGGATCAATACATGTAACAACCAAATGCAACATGTGGACCTTGTTTAGATCCACATTCAAGCCAATCAACTGTAAAAAAGATTTTTGAGACAATTGGAAAACTTTGAATATGGACTGGGTATTAATGATAACAAGAGTGTGCTTAATAATTTTGTTAGGTGTGATAATAACTTTGGGGTTATAAAAGAAAATGTCTACATTTTAAAAAATTTATAATAAACATATTTAGGGGTGAAATAATACAATGTTTGGGATTTGCTTTAAGATAATTTGTGGGAGGTAGAGATGAGGAGAGAGAGAGAGAGAGAGAGGGGGAGAGAGAGAGAGAGAAGAGAGAGAGAGAGAGAGAGAGAGAGAGAGAAATGGCAAAATCTTAATATTATTTGCATAAGTTTGCTAGGCTGCCATAACAAAATTCTACATACTGGGTGGATTAAATAACAGAAATTTATTTCTTACAGTTGTGGAGGCCAGAAGTCCAAGATCAAGGTGCCAGCAAGTTTGGTTTCTCCTGAGGCCTCTTTCCTTGGCTTGCAGATGGCTGCCTTCTCACTCTGTCCTCAATCATTTTTCCTTCGTGCACACATGTCCCTGATGTTTCCCTGTCCTAACCTCCTCTTCTTATAGGATACCATCGTAGGCCTCACTTTAACTTAATTATCACTTTAAAGGGCCTATCTCCAAATACAGTCACCTTCTGAGGTACTGGGAGTTAGTCCTTTAACATATGAAGTTTGAATAATGAGTATATGGGAGTTTATTGTATTATAGTCTTTGCCTTTGTGTATATATAAAAATGTGTATTAAATACAACAATATTCCAGAAGAGAACATAAAAGTAGACCTGAACAAATTGAAATACATAGCCTGTTCCATGAATATGAAGACTCACCATGAGGAAGACATCAATTATCCCTAAGCAAATTTATATTTTTTTATTGATAAATATACGAACATTTATTCCTTGAAACTGAACAAGTTTATATAGACAAATAAGTACACAAAAATAGCCCGGAAAACTCATAAAAGAAGAGCAAGGGGGTGTCGAGCAGACTTACTAAGTATTAAAATATACCCTAGAGCCTCAAAAATTAAAACAGTGTGGTATTTATGCATGAATGGGAGAGAATAAAAATCCCATAGTAGACCCAAGTGCATATGGCAATTTAATATATGATAAAGGCAGTTTCCCAAATCAATGGGGGTAGAAAGAAACTTTCTGATCAGTGATAGTGGGAGAACTGGAAAGCCATTTGACAAAAGTTTAAATCGGATTTATACCTCACAACATACATTGGGATAAAATCCAAATAGATCAAATATTTAAATTGTTAAAAATTGAAACCACGGGCCAGCCCGGTGGCGCACTGCTACAGTGCGCCGCTTGGGAGCATGGCGGCACTCCCGCCGAGGGTTCAGATCCCACATACAGACCGGTTCCCGCTCACTGGCTGAGCGAGGTGCGGGCGCGACACCGAGGGTTGCGATCCCGTTGCCGGTCCTGGTCCGGTACGGGCGCGACACTGAGGGTTGCAATCCGTTGCCGGACACGAAAAAAGACAAAAAGGAAAAAAAAAATTGAAACCACAAAAGTACTAAAAAACAAAAACAAAAACCTGGAAGTGAAGAAGGCCTATCTATGACTCAAAATCCAGAGGCCATTTTAAAAATGATTGAGGCCAGCTGTAAAAATAAATGAACAAAATAAAATAAAATAAGTACCTATATGAAGGGATACCAAGTCATTTTCCAGCTGCCAAAAAAAAAAAAAAAAAAAAGATTGACAAATTTTAGTGCACAAAAATAAGAACTTTTCAGGGCAAATACACACATGCTCACCCCATAAGCAAAGACAAAAGACAAAGAACAACTAGGGAAAAATATTTGTTACTCATATCACAAAGAACTAATTTCTCTAAAGTTTAAGGAGTTCTTAGAAACTGAGGAGAAAAGACAATAATACACCAGTATTTTAAAAGGAGGATGTGACATATTGCACACAGGTATTGATATTCAATGCTGTACCACGAATATGTACAATCAACTGTGTTCCAATAAAAAAATACATAAATTAATAAATAAAAATTTAAAATAAACAAATAAAAAATAAGAGGGGATGTGGACGTACATGAACAGATCTTTTACAAAAGAATGAAATTCTGCCATTTGCAGCAACATGGATAACTTAAAGAAAACTATTTTAAGTGACATAAGCCAGGCACAGAAAGAGAGATATTGCATGTTTTCACTCAGAAGTGGGAGCTAAAAATTAATTAATTAATTAATTAATTAAAAAAGAAAGAAAGATACAACAATTACAATAACATGTTGAATGTTCAAGAGGAGAAAGCAGAACTGAGGTTACCAGAGATGGGAAGGGGGGAGGTAAGGGAGGAACTGATAAAGGGCCACGAAAAATGATAACATTGTATAATGCTGAATATACTAATTATCCCAGTTTGAACATCACATATTGCACACAGGTATTGATATGCAACTCTGTACCCCACAGACATGTACAATCAACTATGTTTCAAAAAAAAAAAATGAAATCCACATAGCCCTTAAGCATTTGAAAAGATGCTCAACTACTCTCATACTATGTAAAATTTGTATTTAAAACTACACTGTGATTATTTTTTCTTACCTATCAATTTGGCAATTATACAAAACTTTGACACCACACTCTGTTGTTGGGCCTGTGGAGAAGGTAGGCACTCTCATGCATGGCCGTTGGGGCTGCAAATGGGTACAATCCTTGCATTAGTTTGCTAGGGCTGCCATAACAAAATACCAGAGAGCGGGTGGCTTAAACAACAGACATTTATTGTCTCACAGTTCTGGAGGCTAGAAGTCTGAGATCAAGGTGTTGGCAGGACTGGTGTTCTCCTCCCTGTGTCCTCACGTGGTCTTCCCCCTGTCTGTGTCCTAATCTCCTCTTCTTATAAGGACACTGGTCCTATTGAATGAGGACCCATCCTAATGACCTCATTTCAACTTGATTACCTGTTTAAAGCCCCTACCTCTGAATATAGTCACATTCTGAGTTCCTGGGGTTTGGAACTTCAACATACGACTTTTATGGGATACAATTCAACTCACAACAACACTTATGGAGGGAAATCTAGAAATAGCGATCAAAATCGCCAGTGTAGACCCTGGATCAGCAGCTCCACTTCTGGAAATGTATCCTACAGATATACCTGCACACATATGAAATGACATATGTATGAGGAAATTCATTTCAGCTTTTTTGAGGCTGAAATATTAATTTCAGACTGGTTGAGTAAACTATGGTTCATCTACACAGTGAAAAATTTTGCAGTGGCAAAACGAAATGGAAGTTTTCCATGCACAGCTAAAGGGAGATCCCCATGATATATAAAGTAAGAAAAGAAGGGCATAAAACAGTTTAATAGCCTGCTACCTACATGGGATAAACACATTCGTATTTGCTTATACGGCATTTGCATAAGAAAACACTGAAGGCTAAACAAATACAATGAAAAACCAATAAAATTGGTTACCAATAGAGGCGTGATGGGGACACAGAATGGGGGGGCCAAGAGTGGAAGCAAGGTTTTCTGTATATTTCTTTTTATACAATTTTCATTTCTAAATCATGTAAATTCATAATCATTATATATTTATATATACATATTATATATATATATAATGCATATGCAAATATGTTTTGTAAAGCTTCCTAGCTCAGTCATGAAATTCCTAGTACAATATGAAACTGACTCAAATTCAAATCTTTTCACTTTTGTGAATTGCTATTCTCAGTTTATTGAATCTTCATTTAGGGTTTTCAAATTGTGCTCTTGTGAAATAAAGACAATTTCTAGGGGCTGCAAATGCTTTTTTCTTTTTCTTTGAAAAAAGAAACTGAGTTTAAGAAGGCTAGAGAAAGTCCAGTTGGATTTGTCGTTGACCAAATAGGAAGGAGACTGCCCAGACGCTATTGATCCCAGCACTCGGCAGCACAAACGCCCTTGGGTGTGCATTACTTCAAGCAAACAGAAGTGTACCCTGCTGCGAATGGGGATGCCTGGCTGGGGGTGGGGGGACCCGAGTGCACCACATGCAGCTGAGAGAGAATTCCTGGAGAAAGCCCCTTTCCTGTCATAGCACCCACAGCAGTCTGAGCCTGCTCGCAGCCCAACAGCCTCTCCGAGAATGCTACATTTAAAAGTGCAGTTTTTGGATGATTCCCAGAAGATTTTTGTGGTTGATGTAAGTGGAAATCACATTGCTTATTCCTTTATTATTCATTCAATAATGGTCATTTGTGGACAGCCCATTAGCTGGAGATGTTATGTCTTCTTTAGGACCGAATGAAGGAGGACTGTGGTTTTTAGCTTTGGAAAAGAAATCTGTATTTAATATCACAATGTAGCTCATGTTTTCCCATTAACCTTTCTTCTAGAACAGGTTCTCTTTTCTCAAGGGACAACGAAAGCAAATTTTAAAGCTATGCTAAATATTTGTAAAAGGGCAAAGCAGCAATAATTCAGTTCTTCTACCCAATAAGTTATTATTCTTTGAAATTATTTGTCTGTGGGTCTCACCCCATGAGCATTTGTGGGGAGAAAACTGGTTCTGAGAAAAAAGAGGGGGGAAACTCCCCTCCTTTTCTGAAGAAAACCTATGGGTTATGGGGGGTAGAATTATGCAGTTGTAATGAGAACCTCAGGAAGTAATGACATGTATGAAAAAGAAAAATAGGATAAGAGACTATTTAGTTTGATTTAGTACTTATAGTTCAGGGTTCTTAATATAATTCCTAGCTTCAAGATGATTGCGTACAATTATACCTCATCTCTTCCAGAAAGAACAAATGTATTAAGCACATCATTTGGTGCTTATGTTCCAGCATCTTAAGAAATGTACACTTTGATGTCAGGATTTATGATGAGCATTTTGAAATGTTCTAAGTTTTTATTGGAACCAAAAATGCTATTTGCTCTGATATTTACATTACGTACTAACAGGAAACAAATAGTTCATTTTCTCTGAAATTCATACGAATGTTGGTTGTTTTCTTTTATACATAAACTGTCATCTACTGTAGCATAGCTGTAACGCTGGGTGTGTGGGTAGCCCATTTTTCAAATGAGTATTTCATTTTTATTTGAATTAGGTGCTTTGGGGGTGATGACTTCATGGCTTAGGCTGCTGTTTTGCTGTCTCTTCCTTTCAGTTTTATGTGCAAAAAGCATTTCTAGGTCCACAGACCTGAATGATTTGTTTTTGTAGCAAATAGCTTCCATTAGAGGTATGAGGCATTTCCTATTCTCCCCTGGAACTATATTTAAGGGGTGGAAAATGTCTTTTGAGTAGTTTATCCATTTGCAGGCTCGTGGTGTATGCTCACAGTGCTCCAGTACCTGAATTAGCGAGCTGGGTACTCAAAAGACACTGCTTTAGGCTAAATTTTTAATAGACATTTCAAGCAACTCAAAGAGAAATCTTTGACAAAAAATGACAGAAGAGTTTTCTGAATGTGCAGTTCTAATTCAGATCCAATTAAATGGGAGGAGGGGGTTGGGAAGCACAATACCATAGCTTCACAAAATTCACCTTCTGCAAAGCCAATTCCAGCAACTTGAAGACAGCATGATTTGGCTTCAAGTCAGATTGTCTCTTTCCAGCTGCAACACATTGTGTTCCTTGGGAAGATAATGGGAGAGATTTGATACCCAGCAATTCGGGTGTCAGAGCATCTGATCCCTTTTGCTCTGTGGAAGGCTGTTGCTCTGTAAGTAGCAATTGTGGTATTATGGAGAGTGGCAATAGCACTGGCTGCAGTCCCATGAGCAGCTTTGTCCTGAGGGGACAGAACCTTAAGTTAGCATCCACTCATCCAATGGTACCTTCTCTCCTTAATGGTAGTCTGATGATGATGACGATGATGGTGATGATGACAGCAGTAGTGGTGACTCACCGGTGGAATTACAAAGCAATTTCACATCTATTAGTTCAGTTGAGCCTCCATTCCACCCTGTGAGTGAAAGTAGGAAAAAGATGTTTTTCCATTTTGCAAATTAAGAAATGGGGGCTCAGGTAGCTTAAGTGACTTTGTGCAGGATTCCACAGTATATAAGTACAGAGCTGGGACTTCCAATCCAGAACTCTCCCCACTCCTCCATGTACAATTGTATCCAGAAGACTCACCTGTAGGTAGCCTCCTACTCCTGAAATATTGCTCGTCCACATTATTTATTTTCTGTTTCCTCAAAGGGCACAGAATCTGGCATACAGTGAGCTTTAGATGACTGTGATGAATGAGTTAGTAGATTCTTCCTTCCTTACCCATGGATGAGGAGCTAGGCGGATAAGTGGTCCCTAGAGGTCAGGGAGACCATGGTATGAATCTTATCATTGATTCAAATGCTTAAAAAGCAACCTAAAGAATGTCCACTTTTATTAGTACTAACATCCTAAACAGGATAAAGAACTGCTTGGAATCATAATGAAGAGAGCCAATTAGTAGCTGAGGGAAGCCACATGGAGGGGCTTTGGGTACCAAACTTAACTGAAGTCTCAAGAGCCATGGATCATTCCCAGGGAGAATCGTCCTTTAAGATAAGATTCAAGAAAATAATTGGCTGCATGGGGAAAGATAGTGGACTCTTGGTGTTGATTTTACAGAAAGTGATGTGGTAGGAATATAAAAAGTACACATTATCAGATAGAATAATGTCACCTGGGGAAAGCTAACTGACATCCAGAACCCTTACTTCACTTCAATTGGCATTATCTTGGTAAATTTACTAGGGCCCAAGATCTGGCTCAGGTCTACATATTCAAAAGCCTGATTTGTCAGCACTCCACAAGAACCAAAGTCGGAGACTGTTATTTAAAATCAGAATGCCAGTGTCATCATTTACAGGGATATTGGGGACCATGGGGTCCTTTCATTGGTTACATATGTTTCCAAATGATGTCAGAAAAGTCGCATCTGAAGGAATTCAATATGTGACCCTAATATTTGATGGCTTGATAATGCATGTATCTCCACAAATGACCTGTTATTGAGACTTTTTAGTTACTCATTCATTCATTTAATCATTTAGTTAACAGATTATTATTGAGGACCTAATATGTTTCAGGCCCTGTTCTGGGCACAGTAGACTCTACCACGTGAGTAGATCAAGTTCTTGAGCAAGGGCACACTCTGGCTTGGGCAGTGCTGGCTGAGCGCTACCAACTTTGGCCTCAGTGATTCCTTTTCTTTCTCACTGCATGGTTGACAAACTTCCTTTGTGATTGTCCTACTCTGTCTTTAACTTGTTAATGCCTTCAGTTAGGTTACTGAGAAGAGTGGCTGGCCCCAGACACATCTTGTGTTTTTGAGGTTTCTTTGCATATTTGTGCTCTCAGGCACTGTGTGTTGATTTTATAGATGAACTCTTCAAAGATATTAGTCAAGAGTGTTTAGGAGGTTCAGGATAGGTAGGGGACTTCAGAATTGCTGGATGTGCCCCCTAAAGTTTAATCCAATGAAGGAAATTAATTTAGTGAAAACCTCATCTTATTTTTCAAGCCCTCATAATTATACCATAAAACTGGTCATTGGGCTGGCTGGTTAGCTCAGCTGGTTAGAGCACAGTGTTATAACACCAAGATCTAGGGTTCAGATCCCCTACCGGCCAGCTGGAAAAACAAAAAACAAACAACAACAACAACAACAAAACAAAAACAAAAAACCAACAACAAAAAAGGATCATAGTCAAATATCAATATCATTCTTAGTGCTGCTCTTATCATGGACAGCCTATCCGTAGGCAATCAAGGAGGGCTCTCTAGAATGATGATAATTTGCCGGGGACCAGCCCCAGCACAGAGATTGTGAAGGTCCCCACTGGTAAGGGATCCCCCAAAAGGGAGGAAGGGCAGCGTCGGCGATGGAGCGGCAGCAAACATACAGACCCAAAGGATCTGTTGAATGCTGGGACAACAAACACACAGACTCAAGGGATCTGCTGAATGCTGACAATTTATTGAAGCAAGCATCAGACTTTTATACTTTTCTTTCTTATTTGCTACATAATCATAAAATAATCAATGAACAATATCATAATATCTCTTTGTAAGTGACATATGTTCTAAGAAAAATAGCATTACAGTTTATTCCCAGAAAAGACAATTACAATGTCCTTTCCTTTGAGCAAGAACGTTACAACCCACTGGTCCCATATAATCATCACTTTTCATCACTTGCAATCAGTACCGAAACTACATCCATGGTACAATAGACTTTCTATGACGTTATTAAAACTTAATTCACACCTACATCTAACTATTCTTTATTCCTAAATAAACACTCTAAAAATTAACTTGCTTAACTAAACTTCTACTTCTATTGTAAAACAAAAGATTGTACATTAACTCCTTCCAAGCAGCCAGGCCAGACTCTCAGGCACCAGACAAGACGAATGCCTACATAGGTTCGTTGTCCCCTTCTGGGCCCCACTGCCATAAGCCATCTCCTGAAAATCCATAATCATAAGTATCATTAGTATGATTAAATATTTTAGTATAATTTTGAATACTACTTCCAAGTCTCCCAGAGCGATAGTTATGAGGCAGCAAAGAATAAAATAACAAGCACACAGAACTCCAGAATATCAGGGTGGAACACCGGCATCTTCTCCCACGATGAGGCCTTGCCATCATCCCTTCACGATGAGGCCCTGCAAACACCGTGTTTCATTAAAAGATCTTTATCAAACTTTAATCTTATGAGTGGGAGGTGCCCACGCAATAATTCCCTTGGGAGCCCACCAGAATGGCTAGCGAGGCCTCATTTTCTGACAGAGACAGAGGGAAGGCAGTGCTAGGACTGAGCACTATTCAAGCTAAATAGGAAGACAAAAAGCTGCCCAGTGATTTTTTAAATCAGTGGTGGTATTTACTTTTGGGATGTTTGTCTAGGAGTTGGTTTTTCGATTTATAATGATGAGGGATCTTTTGTACTTTGGTCACTAGTGAAATAGATAACCTCTCCCCCTACTTCGTAAGGCATAGTTCTTCCAACTCCAACGAGATGGAATTGCTATGGTGTAATAGAATGTATCTGGACTTGGGGCTATAGAAGCTGCACCATTTTAGCTGTGTAATCTTGGACCAGTCACTTATCTCCTTAGCTCCTCAAGTTGTTGTGAAGAGTAGTATAAATGGGATAATGTGCATTTGGAGTCTGATAAACCGGGATAAATTTGACTCGCCCA